AGGTAATAAATTAGACCAACATCACAACCTAAAAATAATAATTGGTCCAGGGTTATGAACCTGGTTGTTCTGTGCATGATGATAAATTACTACTGTGTCATCATTGGTTGAATGGCCCTGCTTCTGCTGCCACAGCAATCTCCACCATTCTAACCCTGCCTAGCCCAGGTGCAGTGTTGGAGCAGCTCTGGGCAACTGGGTAGATGTGGCCAAACCTCAAGGGAATGGCAATGCTGCCTTGGGAGGAAATTTCAAGGAAAATTCCCAAATGTTAACACAATGATGTAAACAGGAAGAGAATGCTTTTCATTCCCCAAAGCATGATACAAGATAGCATCAGATTATATGTGTGTGTATATATATAATTTATTGCTAAGAGTATTTCATAATTACTTTTGGCTCAAGAGGTCACCTCTGGGTTGGTTATAATAAATGAGATTTTAAAAATATTAATTTAAAAATCAAGTAAAACTGTTTTAAGTGACAATTTTAAAAAAATTTGGACTGGAAGTAGAGAAAGAATGTGTTTACCATACATCCTTAAAAGGGAACTCCACAATTGTCACACTATCTAAACTACCATATTGTAATGAAGGTTCAAAATGCAGTTTAACTGCACTGAACTTCATTGTAAGAGTCCACACTATCGTATAAGGCAGATCAATGTAGTTAAGCTGCATTATAAAACTACATTAAATAGCAGTGTAGATGGGACCTGAAGCACTGGAACAGAAAAATGCCCTTCTTCCTGTATTCCCCAGCATATAGTAGACTGACAGTGACCATTCTAAAAGGTAACTTTTTCATTATTTTAGAAAATAGGAAACCAACACCTTTTTAAATTGTAATCTAAACTAAAACAAAAGTACTTTTTATGGAATGTTAATTGTAACCAATTGCTTAATTAAAGTGCAGAGAGCCTGCAAATTGTTTAGACAGTATGATGATTTTGTGATTATCAAAACTGTGATTGTTTTGTGGTCATCAGAACAAATGAATGTCTTCTGCAGAAGCAATGTCAGCAAAAATCTAGGCAGGTACTCAAGGTCTACAGAAGAATTCAAGAGGTGAATAGAAAACATGCCTAAGGACTCATTAACTAAAGTGTAATTTATTGCATGGTGTATATATGTATGTATGGAGCCAATTAAGTGCAGAAACCCCTCTTGGCCACGGAAAACCCATTAGAAACCCCTTGGCCATATCACACTCTCTCAATCTTGGAGGGAATGAAAGGTAAACCTCTTCTGAACAAATACTGCCAAGACAAAAAAAAAAACAGGGTAGGTTCACATATATAAGAAATGATTTGAAAGTGCATAACAATGAGGAGGGGTCACAGTTAAACAGTCACTCTGTCAACATACATCACCATCACTGTTTTATTACAGGAAATACTGCTAACCTGTTCAAAAGGATGTAGTAAGTGACTACTGACTAGATAGAAGGGATGTTCAATACACCATTTTTGGTGACCGGTTTAGGCTGGCGTCTGTTCCATTTTTAGGGAGCTTCCCGAACTTGGGGGTGGGGGGTGGGTCTGTTTTCATGTTGAAAGGATTCAGTCCATTGCCAACAATGGAGAAATTTCTCTGTCATTTTAGGCTCATTTCTCTGTCATTTTAGGCCTATCAGCATGAAACTTACCTCACTTGTAGGCCACATTTACTTCTGCAAGCATGCTAAATTTTGGAAAATTTCAACAAACCACTAATTTTTTGATTGTTTTAAAAGTTTTTACCATAACTTTTTTTAAAAAAATCCACAAAGGGGGGTTCTGGGAATTGAAGTACCAAGTGCACACCACAAGAGCGGTGAAGAATGGACACAGTCAGCCAGGCCTCTGGCTGAGAAAGAAAGTGAGAAGCACATACAACTCTCATCATGAATTAGAAGGTAGCACAAGGCCCCTTCAATGCTTGCATAGCACAAAGTGCTGTTGGGAAAGTGAGTTCCCATTTGCCTCAATTGGGTGTGAGGGGGAAGGGCCTTCGGGAAGGAATGGAGGAAGCTGCTGAGGAAGAAAGTAAAGGAGGAATAGCAGCTTTCTTAATTAGTGAGGCTGCTCTGACCACAAACTGCCATGTTCACCTCAGGTAGAGTCAGTGCCGCTTGCTCCGCCCCATTGGTCCCTATTAGCCCCCATTATCTAAAAAGATCTGATTGCTGTGATCTGTTCAGCTAAGGCTTTGGCTGACTCCTGACTGGCCCGTTTTCATGGATTCAGCAGCTGAATCCTCTGAACCATCCGGAGCCCGTTTTCAAAAACAAAACTGTACACAGCCCTACTAGATAGTTGTAGAAAGGAAACAGGAAATCAGTTATTGGCTACTTTCACATATTAAAGTCTCCCTGTGTGCCAATAATCGCTGAACAATTATAGTTACAAAATGTGTTAAAGAGATTTTATCAGTGTGGCATTTGTTTCTTCTACATTTTTAAAATCTTAAAAGCATAGTTTTATATATAATGACATGTTTATGATCATCTAATGTCTGATGGTCTATTTTCAGACTGTGAAGTACAAAATTTTCCCCTTTGCTTTTTAAGCACCGGAAACCTGTAAGAAAGAATACAGACATGATGCCCTTTAAAAAATCCTAAAATAAGTACTGGCTCACCTTAGCACACCTTGGCTAGGAATGACAGTACATTTAGGGAAACTGCTATTTTCTGGGAAGTTATTAGTCACAAAGTACTTTTTAGGTGAAACTATGTCCTGAGCTTTCAAGACAACTTTTTTGGGAAGTAATTGTCAACCCTTTCCCATTAACCTCCCTCTTTTCTACTTTTGAGCAGTAGCTACAATGATTTTAAGGGTTTTTTTTTGTTGAATCTGAGTGTGTTATCTGTCCTTCCAAATAACACATTCAAATGCTATGTTCAATGGCATTGCCTATGAAAAGAAAGAAAATTATATCTGAAAAAATTATCCTACTACTCTGTTCCAATATCAAGGAGGCATTGCATCTGCTCTGCAGTTTCCATCTAATATTTAAAAGAGCTATCCAAGGTACTGAACCTATTGTGGGGAAAAGTCTCAACAACTTGGATAACTCATGTAAAGTTCACACTAAAACTCAGAACAGATTGAACACACTACTGCCATTATAATCACTATCTCCCAGATCCTGGGCAGGAGAAGGACTGTTTAGTCACCAGACCTGGTGCATTCTATGTAAAGGAATCAAAGTGTATATGTTTCGGAAACTGATCCATCAGTTATTTTGGATATCTTTAGAACAGGCATGTTAGATTTCTGGTTGTTTTCAATTTGTTTAGTTTCTTGATTAAAAACAAACAAACTGGACATTTCTGTTTTGGTCACTATTGTATCCAACATGGTGTGGATGTTAAGCATTGAAAATGCTACTATTGTTCCATTCAAATTATAAGCAGTTTGAGCATTGGACTGTGACTCTGGAAACCAATACACTTGGTACACAACTGACTGAAGATCAGTGTGTTAGTTAATGTGATGATATCTGGCTAGCTTGGGAGATTCTAAAAAGGCTACATGGCACATACTGCTCTGTGCGTAGATAGAAAAGAGCACCTGAAGAACTCAATAGAAACAGCCTGAGAGCTGCCATTATCCCATCCATCCATTAACACATGTATATACATCAGCTATTTTTTTTCATCACTCTTAATAATGTTGGCACTGGCTTCTACCAGAAAGACTGGCATAATTCAATTTCTGGAAATCATGATGTATAGCACATTTTTCTTACCACAAAATGGAGTCAGGGCACATTGATTAGCTATTGCAGGGAACAAGGATCAAAACTTTTATTTTCTCTAATGTGTATGAATGAGCTTCAAGAATTCCTGTAGTAATTCTGCAGTTAACCTTGTGTGTGTGTGTGTAATTTTAGTGTATTTTTAAAATAAGAATAACTACAAAGATAATAATAGGAAGTGATGCTGTAATAAGTTGGGCCTTTCTTCCATCCTGATCAAAAGTTTATAAAGCATCTTGTATCATGGAACATGCTGAAGAAACAGTATATAATAACTTTAAAGCACAGTTGACAAATAAATATATTATCTTATATTCTGCATTAAAATATAACTGTGTGACAGGTCCAGATATAGCTGCTTTTAGCATTCATTTAGAAATAAATGTCCCTACAATTAGAGAGATACCAAACCAGTTTTATTCAATTTATTTGAAATAAAGAAGGTTGCTATGATGTACTTTGGGTATCTTACACATTAAGAAGTGTTCTCTGCTTTTTTGCCTAACACAAAGCCTGGATTAAAAATAATGTTACATAATGCACTACTACATTCAAAGCTTAATTTCATCCCAAGTCTTGCTATGAAGCCCCATAATCCTTTCAAATGATATTCTTTTCCTTTTCTTCTCTGGAAATATGCACTACAATCTGTCCAATGAGAATCAGTATTGGACAAAAGCAGGCCAAAGCAAGAAAGTTTAAGTAAGTTTTTCCATGGGAAAGCTGTGTTTTCCGCTAGGGTGTGTTTGTTTCACTTCTGACCCAAGCTGTCTGGCCCAAATGCTTCATCAGTAAGCCCTGTCCTCACAAGTGCTCCACATTTTGGTCTTTGCTTCCTATTCTGCATGGGATATACAGTGATCAGCCTCAGTAGATTTTATGTCTTGCTCCAAAAAACTCTTGTGAGTTTTTTAATAGCCTGTTTCCTACCGGATGCATGTGGCAGTGCCATTGGGAGTGTATGTTATGTGTACATCCCTTCCTCAAGCCAGCTTCAAACCAGATTTTAATGCTTGTGTAGATGGGACCACTGTGTAGCAGCAAGCCTGTACTCTCCTTCATCTTGCAAGAATAACAGAAACAGGTATATGAAAAAGAGTGCCACGGTGAATGCACAAAGTGCTGTTATTGTTTTGTTTGCTTTGTTTTCCAGTTTTAGTTATGATTAGTGTTTTAAACATGTTGAGATTCCTACAACCAATAATCTCTCAGTGAAAATTGTCTTTCCTTGATTGACACTTGCCTTACCTCCTACAGGTGGTTCACCTGAGCCAGCTGGAAAGGGCACACTCCTACCTCTGACACAGTGTACGTTCACTTGTTGCTTCAGGGCTACGTAAGTTTTTTAACCCCTTTGCAGTGTGCGTGTGTGTGGAGGGGAGTACCTATCACAGAAGAATGGACAATTGGCTGGGGTGGATTCCTAAATAGGTTACCATTTGGCAGGTACTGGGGGGAGAAAGGAGTAATTAATTTAGCACTTATGGCATATATTTGGTGAGGGACAGAACTCTGGAATAGAGCCTGTGAGTCATATGACCAGAGAGGTGGAGAAAGAGATTATCCTTGGGGCTGGTCTTGGGATTTTGTCCTCACCACAAGTCATGCAACTTGAAGGTTGGAACCCTTGGCTTGGTTTTTCCAGTGGATGGCTAGCCGGGGAGCAATCCAGAGTTTGGGGTTATCCTCTCAGGGGCTCAGATGTTTTCCCTCAGGGGAAGATGGGAAAGAGCAGCTCAAAAATAGCAATTTCCCAAGCTGCTCCCCCCCCCCCCCAAATAGCATATCTTAAATAAAAAGTTAAAATAAGTAACAGATTTTTTTTCATGTCAATAACAACTTGAGAAACTGCAAGTCACTTCTGTTGTGAGAGAGTTGGCCATCTGTAGACGTTGCCCAGGGGGTGCTCGGATGTTTTACCATCTTGTGAGAGGCTTCTCTCATGTCCCCACATGAGGAGCTGGAGTTGACAGGTGGGAGCTCACACTGTTCCCCAGACTCAAACTGCTGACCTTTTGCTCGGCAGTCCTGCCGGCACAAGGGTTTAACCCAATACGCCACCACGGGCACCAGATTAAATGAAGTCACCCATATTTTAACCCATCTTCTGTGTATGGCCTCATTATTCCATCAGCTGGTCAACAACAACCTTGATATATAAGCAAGCCCATAAAAAGAATAGGAGCCACATTGATGCTATTAGAAGTACAGTTTGAATTGTATGATTATTATAGTAATATGGAAGCATGGTTACAAGATAAACTCAAGTCTGTGAGGTTTTCATAGAAGGCTCCAAAATATGCATAGACTAAATGCCTGTTTTTCAACCACATAGCAAATAAAGAATGGGCAGGAATTGCTCAAAAAGCCATCAATCTTCCTTGCCATCTCTCAAATCTCAGAACCTCATGGAATGAAGCTTGGAGGGGGATTTGCTTCTTATCTGCCTTTGGCATTGAAAACAAGAATTTACCCAATGTTTATTACCCTCAGACTATTGGTATTACATGAAAGCAAAGCTTCTGCAATTTTCCAAGAGGCATTCCTCAGAGGATTAGAAGCAAATTTATTTGCAAGTCTTGACTGAATTGTTCTCAAAACGCTTAAAGGTGAAAGGGAGATTTTTTGAATTATTCTTCCAATGCTCTGCATAGTTACGTATTTGCAATCATATGTACAGTATCTCATTCTCTTATTGATTCAACACAATCTTCGTATTAACAGCAGAGATAATAATTCCAACCTAACTTTTAGGGTTATTGTAATGATTACAAGTTGAGGTATGTTCTGAGCACTCCAAGATACTATGTGCTGCTGTTCATTCTATTACATGAGAAATAAAGCTACAAGAGCAGGTTTTTTGAGGTTGGAATAGAATTTCCTCCCAATCTTGCTCCCTCTTTTTCCTGCTCCTAATGTTGACACTCCATTAATTTAGAAAAAAAGGTAAGGCAAGGCATACAGACAGCCTTTTTGGCTTTTCTTTGCTTTCTCACACTGAAAAGAAAACTGACTTTGGGAACCTTCTGAGATTTACAAAACTAAAACAGAAATGCATGGGGTAAGTTTAAATTCTTAAATTTTTGGTGTGGGGCATGCTGATGTATTGGTTATTGCCTCATAAGTAAAAAAATAACAAATTTGATCTGAATTGTGAGGCAGACAAAAATGCACACTTCTAGTATCTTGTTTAAATTTTATTTTCCTTTAGTATCAATTTGCCATGTTGCTCTATTCTCCCTTTGGAAGTTTCTTTGCATTGCAATAACTACTTTAAGCTCAGTGTCAGAGTATCCTGGAATTCTGAACTATTTGTATTAATTGCTATTTTTTATGACAGAAGTTTAACACTTTGTTGAATAATAAGCGTGTTGAATAATGATAATTTTTCTTATCACATTCAAAGTATCAAATCACTTGGATTGGATATTAGAAAAAAATAAAGGAAAAGAATAAAAGAGGTCACAAAGAAAAAATAACTATGAACTGGGGGATAATTACTCTTTTGCTTCTCCTCATAAGCAGGCAGACTATGAACACATTGCAATGAAATGTTTGAAACAGTGTCAGAGATACATTTTTCTGCTTTGTTCTGCTGTGTGGCTAAATTATTCTCTGGTTTGAAAGCAGAGTTATCAGTCACAGCCCTTTCAGCCTCACCCCCACCTCTGCCTTGCTCTTCTGTGCTGGGATTTTCCACTTGTAAAGAACCTGCAAAGATTATTCACAGAAGAGACGGTCAAAGTTTGAATGTTCTGAAGTCTTATGCCCAACCAATTTCGACTCAGACCAGAACTGTCTTGATTTTTAAGTGATCTGGATTTTGCTCACATAGGCTGCATTGCCCAGCATCTGTCTTATCTCTGGAGCCAGTGAACATCCCTAGCAATTTTGCTCAAGAGTACATTCTCCTTCTTGCCTTCTTTGTGTTGAATTCTCCCTCTTGCCTTCTGTGACCTTCAGTCATCTGCTATTTCCACTGTGTTCCTTAAATGAAAAGATGCACTGAATGCTTCATCTACTTTCATGACAAACTACAAGTCATGTCAATAACAGCTTCCAAAAAATGTCAGTGAGTGTTCTTAAAGGAATTATGGATAGAGAAAAGTTGACATGTTCAACAAAGGATTTCTGCAAATAATTATGTAGACAAAATGCGGCATCACTGGTGCTATCTTGAAATGTTATTAACATGAATACAAATATATCTAAGCAATAATGTTTTTCTTTAAATGAAGTCTTCATTTACTGGCTGTATGTAATGGTAGTTATTACAATACAGGCTGAGTGTCCCTTGTCCAAAATGCTTGGGACCAGAAGTGATTTGCATTTGTGAATCTTTTTGCATTTTGAAATACTTGATTATATTTAATAAGAAATCATGGAGATGAGATCCAAGTCTAAACATGAATGCACTTATGTAGCCAGGATAGCCATGCATGAAAATGAAGTATCTGCACACTTGTAGGAATGCTTAAGCTTGCAGAAGTATAAATAAAATTATGGAAAAGAAACCCTGCAAATTTTATTGGGGGAGAGCTTAAAGAGAGTCCAATGATAATCACATATATGCAATGCTGATAGGCTATATAGAAGCAGAACTGGAAAATCTGGGGGGAGGGTAAGTGGGAGGAAGTATCTACAACAGGAGGACCATTGGCATGATAACAAGAAACTCAGGAAAACATTAAAATTTGCAGAAATAAAGGATATTTGCCTGCCAACCCCCGAAATAACGAGACCACACACCAGTATTTTGGATTTAAAATATGGGCAACTTTTATTTATTGTTACCTGTTTAACTTTGACTGGATCTCAATCTATGGATCTTGAACTTGGTGGCAAAGCCGAGGTAGCCTCCCTGTCCGGCCTATCCCTCGGATAGTTAGGACAAAACACCCGGGTCCCCTGGACACCCACTCTAGGCAACTTCTGAAGGAAATGTGTCAGAGAAGTCTCTCTCAGTGTATCTGAGACCATATTTTCTTTATTTCTAGGCCATTATAATTCCCCTTCCCTAATCAAATTGAATCTTGGGTGAGTGTTTTAGTTAATGGCCTTCACCCCTGAAGGGGGGTGCCTTGGGCGTATACCAATTTTTAGTTTTTCCTAACTGATTATCGTGACCACCTATTTAACGCCACACCATCCCAATTTGCCCTGTAACAGTATAGGATAGGCAAAAACCCCTTCTAGAACATAAGAGGGAAAAAATTCCTATCCGGCCCCCTAATGGCAACCAAATATACTGTTTAATGGGCGGGAGTGGTGGGTCGACACTCAGCTTCAGAATGAGGAAAGGGGTTCAGCCAGGGCAGAGAGCCTGGCCGCCCCCTTCCAGATAGTTCCATTTGGAACTAGAAGTCTCTTTTCGCGAGTGGAGGCAAACTCCTCTCCCTCCACAGCTTCGCGGTGGAGGTAAAGTTTTTTTATCCCCACACTAAAACACATTAGAAAATAATTAAAAGTGTGTTTGTTTCAGCAGGTTTTCCACTCTGCTTAGATAATTGTCAACCTATTTGCCACTATGTTAGCACTTTACATCTTTTAAGGTAATACAGTTGAGATGTTGAACCGTTTATTGTCTCTATTTAATAGAGGTTGCTTTTATTAATTTTATAGGTTGGTTTTATTTATTGTGTATTGATTTAGTAAGTTGTTGTATTGTATCTTACATGTCATAGCACTATTGTGTGTTATCTTGTAAGTCACCCCGAGTCCCTATGGGAGATGGAGGTGAGGTATAAATAAAGCTTCTTATTATTATTATTATTATTATTATTATTATTGGGGATGATTCCTAATGGAAAAGAGCCTAAGGCAGTGGTTCTCAACCTGTGGGTCCCCAGGTGTTTTGGCCTACAACTGCCAGAAATCTCAGCCAGTTTACCAGCTGTTAGGGTTTTGGGGAGTTGAATGCCAAAATATCTGGGGACCCACAGGTTGAGAACCACTGGACTAAGGAGAACTGAACATGCTCAGTACATGTGGTATGCAGAATGGATGATGGGAGAAAAAAGATCAAAGAAAGGATGAGAGTGGGCATGGAATGGAATGGAATGGAAGGGAGTTTTTATTCATTAGGTAAAGGTTTCCCCTGACATTAAGACCAGTTGTGTCCGACTCTGGGGTGCGGTGTTCATCTCCATTTCTAAGTTGAAGAGCCAGCATTGTCCATAAACACCTCCAAGGTCATGTGGCCGGCATGACTGCATGGCGAGCTGTTACCTTCCCACCAGAGCGGTACCTATTGATCTACTCACATTTGCATGTTTTTGAACTGCTAGGTTGGCAGAAGCTGGGGCTGACACCAGGAGCTTACGCTGCTACCCAGAT